CAGGAATGTTTTGATGTGGTGCTGACGATTTAATAACTATCTTTGTAGCTTCAGAAATGAGTAGTCTCAAGCACTCAACCCTTAGTTACAAGGGCTAAGGACTAACATGTAGAGGACCCGAAAATGAGTTCCTACAGGATCTGACAGCCATAGGTGAACCCTCCAAGACTCGAACAGTCGTGAACGCCACAAATCACGCACTCACTGCACCACACACGATGTTGACTTGAATTGACCTAATCGTCGGCAAATTTGTCCGAACGACCCCAGATGACGAAACAGACCACGTCAGCGCGTCCGGAACATCAAATTTAACCAAAAAGAACACCCATATTGTTATGGTTTCGCACGCGAGCAATTAACACAAAAATCGATGCACATTTTTAATTAGCGGTGTGCAGGCCCGGGCTCATCCTAAGTTCCACTCATATTCAATTTGAGCTGGACTCGGGTTGAACATGGGCTAATCACCAGCTCACATAATTTTGAATTTCAAATTTCAAAATTCAAACAAAACTCGTCTTAATTGAAAATAATTTGGTGTTATATTTTTCCATTTGAGCCGGCTACATCAAAGGAAACCATTTAATTCCCCGCCAAAGCTTTAACGTAACGGCTCCCTCGACTATACTAATTGGCCTCATATCCTCTGCGACAGAACGCTTGATTCGATCATCCCCTCGCTCGCAGCCCAGCTCTCAAGAGATCCCACTTGATTCCTTCCTCCTCTGTACCGAACTCCACCTGCCTGCCTTCCTTTTCCAGACACAGAAGAAGCCCCATTCGATACCAGCCTCCCTCTCCTCCAGATCCAAGCCCTCTCGAATCACCCGCTCCTCTCTGCGAACCGAAGACTGAACTCCCCCTACTCTCTGCACCGAAACCCATCTCTCCTCTAGGCATTCGGCTTGCCATCTCCCTAGATAGAAACCCTCGCCTCCCTCCTCTCTCAAGGTCGAACAGCCTCTGGCCGAGCTTTCCTCTCAAGTTGTCCTTCCTCCTTGCTTCTTTAGTTGCGCGGCAGCGAGCTATGCCTTGAAGTGAGTTTTGAATACGTTGCAACCATTATTCGACGTTCCCATTTAGAGTTCTTTCAGGTATTATCCGTTTTTATCCTTCGGGGATGAGTGATAGCTTTCGACTTTCTTTCCCCAAACAAAGTTTTCAATTCTGAGAGAAATTTTTATTATTTATTTTTTTTCTTGCTTGATCCCTGTTTCACACACCATCCTGCAGCACTCTTTTGATTTACTAGCCGATAATATTGTCTAAGTGAATCTCTTTTTCTCGACCCGTGCGCTGAATTAACTTGACTACAAGAAGGATTTAACTCTGGTAGGATTTAGCAAATCGTGTAAATGCAGAATTCCAGATTAAAAATACTTGAGAGGATTAATGTGAGAACTATTTCACATGACAGCTCTTAAATCACGCTTCTTGATAAACTGTTTGAAACCCTGCCTTTGAAACTAGGATGCCTGAGAAGAAGAAATCCTTGAGTTAAAGGTGTACTTTACTTTTTAAAAGTAAAATAGTGGTGATGAGAAACATTTGGGTGGTATGTATTTGTAAAAATCAAAGTTTGGATGTTTTTGGTGGTATATATGTAAATGCTCCTAATTTAAAACTGGTTATTGGACTTGATCGATTAAAACTGACCTTGAGTTCAGGCTTGTAATTGTGGTTTTGTTGAACAATGTATTTTACACTGTATAAACTATTTGCAGGCAGTATTTCTAGAATTTTTTGTATATGAATTTTGCAGTGAGAGAGTAACGTAAAAGCTATATATTATCACGAGCAACTATTGTTCATTGATAGCCTTAATTTTACAGGAACTCTGCCTACATACTACTCAATTTCATATATATTTGCATATCTAACAACTTGGCGTTAATTCTTACATTTTTACAACACATTCTTATATTTTCTGCATGTCGGAAACTTAAACCTTACATTTACACCACCCAAATCTTTAATTTTACAAAATAAATACCTTTGTTTCTTAACATGAAGGGAATTTTTTTTTATGCTTAGAATTTATTCACTTCTTTGGGCTGATTTTAATTCCTATTTGGAATGGTGTGAACATCAATCTTTTAGGCTGTTTTACTGACTTTATGGAAGAGAATTGTGGACCTCTCAGGGGCAATTTTACTTGCTGTTTTTGCTCCTATTCAAACGCTATTTAGAGCCCTTAAAAGCTGCTATTTAAAAGTCTTAAAAAAAACTGCTTTTTTTTAAGCGTAGAAGTGTTGTTAGAAGCTTGCAAGAGCCGTTTGAGGTGTAGAATCGTTGTATGCTGCTACTAGGAAGCTTAGAAGTGTTGTTGGAAGCTTGCAAGAGCTGTTTGAGGTGTAGAGTCACTGTATGCTGTTATCTAGAGGTTGTAGAAGTGTTGTAGGAAGTACAAAATTGTTGTAGGCTGCTGTAGGTAGCCCTAGAGTTGTTGTCCGGAGGTCCTATCTCTGTCCAGAGTCTTAGGAAGCCGTAGAGTTCCTGTCCGGAGTTCCTAGCAGCAGTCCAGAGTCGTAGGAAGCTGTAGAAGTGCTGTACGGAGGTCCTAGCCGCTACCCGGAGTCGTAGGAAGCCGTAGAGTTGCTGTCCGGAGTTCCTAGCCGATGACCGAAGTAGTAGGAAGCCGTAGGATCACTACCCGGAGCTCCTAGCTGCTATCGGAAGTCGTAGAAAGCAGTAGGATCACTATCTGGAGCTCCTAACTGCTGCCCGGAGCCATAGGAGATCGTAGGA